TACAAACACTAGTCCTGATGCTTTGCTGCAAATGTCTTCCTGTCGAAAGGATTTAGCTGACAGTATCATTTTAACTGACAGTAACAGTTCAGTGTTCAATTGCTAAACTGAATTTGTGTATTAAAATTTTCAGGTGTCTGTACAAAAAAGGTATTACTCCAGGGTCATGGCTGGGCTAAATTTTTCATACATATATACATACATACATACATACATACATACATACATACATACACACACACATATACACATACACATACACATACACATACACATACATATACATCATCATTCATTGGCATCCTTCAGTCTTGAGAGACTATGGTATCGTGCTCTGGAAAAAGGTCCTAAAGCAGCATCTGGTGTGGCTAAAAAGGCCAATTCAAGAGTGGCAGTCCCTTCCACACTGAAGGCAGATACAATCTGTCCCCTGTCCAGCCCCCAGATTTCGCTGGTTCCAGGATTGCCTCTTTGCCTCAGCCTGCCACACAACTGTCTCTTTGAATTGGAGAAAGCCATGCTGCGTCTTTAGCCTCCAGGCTGAACGATCAGAGGTCAAGGATTCCCAGCTGTTAATGTCCATTCCCAAGGCCTTTAGGTCCCTCTTGCAGATATCCTTATATCGCAGCTCAGGTCTCCCTCTGGGGTGCTTTCCCTGCACTAGTTCTCCGTACAGGAGATCTTTCGGAATCCGACCATCAGCCATTCTCACGACATGCCCAAGCCACCGTAGATGTCGCTGTTTCAATAGTGTATACATGCTAGAAATTCCAGCACATTCCAGGACTGCGCTATTTGGGACTTTGTCATGACAGGTGATGCCGAGAATATGTCGGAGACAGCGCATATGAAAGGTGTTCAGCTTTCTCTCCTGCCGTACGTGAAGGGTCCAAGACTCACCGCAGTACAGGAACTATGCATGTTGATTTCAACCAGTACTGATTCAGTAAATTGTCAGTCTTGTAAATGCAATGTAGTTATAACATAGGGCTTGAGATTTATTGTTTTCTATTGCTATTAAATGGGCAAAAAATTTGGAAGATCAAAGTGCTGATGTAAGAAATGCTTGATAACTTTTTACATATCTTGAAAAAAAATAGAAAACAGAATAAGCAGTTTTGGAGGGAAGACCTGACCAGGATTGGAATTGTAGCATATAAGGGTTTTCAAATTATAGCAAACTGCCTCAAATGCTTTCTTTTAAATAAAAGTCAGGATGTAATTGCATTTGGAAATAACATTTAAAAAATGACCATTGCTCTTTTTTATAAACAAAACTCCATAGCTTTTGCCCTGAAACATTTGCAAACCATTTATTTCTGAGATTTGACACTAATATATAACTGTAAGCGTTGATTACTTGACAGTGAACAATATTGCAATTGCTGTAACTCTGAGGAGCAGTCATAAATCTCATTTTTCAGTATTGTCGTAACTTTAAACAGTCACTGAATGAGTGGTCAATAAGTGAGGACTATCTGCATTCCTTTTTGGAATGGCTGTCCGTAGTGGAAACTGGTGGAAAGACTGGTGGACTAATAAAAAAGGAGGTATCAAAGGTCATTTCCAAAATTATTAATTTTGGTATCATCAATTTACTGTCAAAAAGATTCTGTTTCCATTAAGGCATAGAGTGTTTTTATATGGCTACATTTGGCAGTTATACAAATAGTCACCGTTGCCAATGCTGTGTACATTCAGCCATGAAATGTTGTCTTTCTAGCCTACGCCTATAAAAACTGTAGCAGATCCAAGTTTTGATGCCGCAGTTTCACTTGATTTCCTAACAATTGTTCCAATACAGGTTGGACCATCGCATATGAAAAAAAAAAAGCAATGTACCTATTTGGGCTAATTCTGGCATTTCAGCTGAAATTATTTACCGTCTTATGCCCTTGTAAGGTTCCTTTACATCCTTGAAATACGTTGGCCTGAAGTTGACAACGAGCAGTATGTTTTTTATTTATCCCCTACCAAGACTTTAAATTTTTACTTTTACTTTATGTTTACTTTAATTTTTTCAAAGAGTCTTGATTTTATATTGCATTTTTGGCATCTGTCACCAGTTGTTTCAGACATCTGGAAGGGGCATGAGATGCTCCATTCAAAGTCCCGTCTCTTCCTACCTAAGAACAAAGGAAAGTATGAAGGGGTCCAACCTTGCAGTATTCTTTTGTGAAGTTCACAATTGGGTCTTTTCCAAAATTAACTAACAGCACAGAATAAATAACTGGTATCATTTTTCAATGAAGTTATATCTGTATTGAAATTATAAGCTAATTGTCTTCTGCATTTACAGCTAGACCTTACAACAGTTCATTTAGTGACTGTTTGAAGTTACAATGGTACTGAAAAAAGTGACTGCAGCATCTCCATGGCCGTGTAATCAAAATTCAAACACTTGGCAACTGACTCATATTTATGATGGTTGCAGTGTCCCTTTTGTGATCTTCTCAAAAACAAACTCAATGGGAAAGCCAGATTTCTTAATAACTATGTTACTATCTTAACAACTTAAATGATTCACTTAGCAGCTGCGGCAAGAAAAGTTGTAAAATGGAGCAAAATTCACTTAACAATTGTCTACTTAGCAACAGAAATTTTGGGCTCAATTGTGGTCATAAGTTGAGGACTACCTGTAATGATTCACACAGCTATGGGTCTACGTGTATACATTCCACATCTATAATAAGAAATGTATGCATATTTATTTATTTTATTTTATTAAACCTGTTTGTTTCCTATCTCATCACGAGGTGAGTCTGGGTGGCTTTCAGTGTTTAAAAGAATAAGACTATACAATATCTATCTATCTATCTATCTATCTATCTATCTATCTATCTATCTATCTATCTATCTATCTATCTATCTATCTATCTATCTATACAGAGATAGAGATAGATATATAGATAGATAGATAGATAGATAGATAGATAGAGAGAGAGAGAGAGAGAGAGAGAGACAGACAGACAGACAGACAGACAGACAGACAGACAGATAGAGAGAAACAGAGAGAGACAGAGAGACAGAGACAGAGATAGAGAGAAAGAGACAGACAGAGACAGAAAGACAGATGGAGAGAGAGAGAAGAGACAGACAGAGACAGACTCTAGAAGAGTACAGAGAAGAGCAACAAAGATGATTAGGGGACTGGAGGCTAAAACATATAAGGAACGGTTGCTGGAATTGGTTATGTCTAGTTTAATGAAGAGAAGGACGAGGGGTGACATGATAGCAGTGTTCCAATATCTCAGGGGCTGCCACAAAGAAGAGGGAGTCAAGCTATTTTCCAAAGCGCCTGAAGGCAGGACAAGAAGCAACGGGTGGAAACTAATCAAGGAGAGAAGCAATCTAGAACTAAGGAGAAACTTCCTGACAGTTAGAACAATTAACCAGTGGAACAACCTGCCTCCAGAAGCGGTGAATGCACCAACACTGGAAGTTTTTAAGAAGAAACTGGACAGCCATTTGTCCAAAATGGTATAGGGTTTCCTGCCTGAGCAGGGGGTTGGACTAGATGACCTCCAAGGTCCCTTCCAACTTTATCATT